AAACTTTTTTTATCAGGAAAACACCTGCATGCTGGTCCATTCTTCCCACTCACACTATTAACCTCAAGTATCCCACATTTGAGTTAAACTGCATTAGTGCTCTATTAAAACAAGACATCAGACATCCTTTGAAAGGATTTATTGCCTCTCTCTCGTTAAGTTGGTCATAAATCAAACGTGTTGGTCGAGTGTGTTTACAGAGTGGTATGAGTGAGAAATGGGAGACTTCTTTTTAATATCAGCCAGCAATACGAGCAATGTAAACACAACACACAAGTCAACATATCATGTCAATCAGCCCTATATCTGAATGCAAATCAAACACAGTCCATTGGATTTGATCACAGTGAACCTTCAAAATCATTGCAGACAAATAATTCACAGTTGAGAAATGCTAACGACAATTCTTATGTCAAAGTCCTGTGAACACTGTCTTGATTTACAAACATTACATATCATTTGCTGTAATTTAGACATTCATCACATGAAAAAAGACAATCAGGTTGTTATTCATTAAAATCTCTACATTGGCTCAGTAAAAGAGCGTATTTTAATGTATTTTTCAGATAAGCCTCATAGGAATAACAGCATCATGGCGATCCATTCCCTTTAGGTAAAATTGCTCTGTATCAAAATAAAGTAAAGGAGAAGTTTTACATTGTACGAAATAAACCGGCTACGCTAACCACTTGTTCCAGCTTTATGTTGAATGCACAATAGGGATATCAGTCATCTCATCTAACTCATCGAAAAATATCAAACTAATCGTCCGATTGTCCAAGACTAAACCTTGTTTTGAGCAGTATCTGCCAATATAACTGTTTTTACTTTCATGATTTATTCTAACTTAAAAAAATTCCAACTAAAATATTCAGTATTTCATACTGAAGGTCCAACAAGTCCTCCAACTCATACGACCAAATAGGTCGATTGTTCAAGCGCTTATTACGACCTATAATCATGTTTTAAAGTTTTCGACCTCTAGTGCTCCCGTTGACTGCAAACGCTCCGGTGGGTCGTATATTCACAAATAACCCTCTCTGGAAAATCCTAAATTGTAGGATAGTTTGGCCATTAAAATGCTTTTTGATTAGATTTCTAGTGAGAAGTGTGTATTGTACTTTTAGAATCCACGTCCAGTGGATGTGTAGGATCTATAGTTTAATAGATATTACGAAGATTATTTGAGGTCTCGCCAGGAGAACGTGTATACTACGTCTTTCCCCCTATTCATTTCTATTGACGGCAGCGTCCATGTAAAGTTAGCGTCAACCAAACGACCCATAATCCTCAGCTATCGCTGAAGCTCGGTGATTGGATGTTTTAGCCGCAATGCACGTTGGGATATGGTGTTTATGCGATGTGAAATCCGAAAACATTTTTAAAAAGAAAATAATACTTTATTCCGAGTGTGCTTGCTTTTCTCTTTGAAAGTCATCACATAACGGCATTGTAATACACGGTTCGGCTGCATTAAATATTACACATCTGCAGTAGTTCTCTATTTATAGAGAAGACCTATATTAGAAGACCTTTGGACAAACTGGAAGAAATGCCGCCGAAACTGAATACGTGACGTGGATCATAGATATATCAGCAATTAAACAACATATTCAATTTCTCTTCACACAATATGTCTCCTTGCAGTATCAACACTAATTCGGCTGACTTTTATATTTGATACAATTGGTAAATAGGCTGTATTTATACCATAACGGTGCACAGCTGATAGAAAGGGACTTGTAGTTTTTAAAGATATTACTGATTTTCTTTGCATTAAATAATGTAAATACTGAGTTGAGAGAATAGTCAGGGGTTTTGGGTGATGGGAGACACATCTATGGAATCACAATTTCAATAGCTTACCATTAAATGACAGATATACCTTTCTGTCTATGATGTTTTACAAATCAGATATTAATGTGTATAACTACAATATGTGAAATATTATAGCAATATCCTGTAGAATTATGTGAAATTATGAATAAAACTACACATCTTCAGATGTTATACATACATAAGTGTCATACACTAATAATACAAAGTTATTATGGCATTGTATGCTGTGTGTTATTTGTAACATATTGAGAAACTACCTTTCCAACTCCTCACCAGTTGACTGTTACAGGTCTATACAGGTTCATGGTACAATGCATAAGCTTCAAATCGAGAGACTGAAACTGTATTTTTTTTTACCGTTCTGTTTTAATTTCACAATAAAGTTAATAGTAATATTATGTTTGATATTATTATGTTTTAACTAGACCACTGGGTCATGTTGTTAAGACCATCTTTTCTGTCGGGTTGGTGTTACAAATATCAAAACAATATATGTGTGGATAACAAAATAAATCCGTCATAAACTAAACTGGAAATTATACTGGAAATTATAATTTATTGTTTTAACACTGAAAACTTGACAGTTTTTTAACCTGCACCGCCTCGTGGCTAAAGCACGTTATTGCATTTTTTTGTTGAATATGTTATATTTGATGAAGAAATAAAAATATTAAGAGTAGCCTACATACAAAATAGGGGGAAAGTAGAAGGTCAATGATAGAAATATATAGAATGGAAAATATCAAGAAGATACTGTAGTGATCTCTACAATAAAACAGCAAGTGGAGGACGTCCAAAGATATTAATATGGATGTGCAAAACAGGATGTGCAAAACAGACAAACTAATAAGGCTTTATTTAAACATTAAATAATACTTTAAATTAAGGTCTTCTTTTGAATAAGAAACATTTTTTGGGGGTATCGAGAGATACATATTAAGCCTGACAAAGTACTTAACGTCTAATATATTGCATAGTTTATTTTGGCACTTGACAATCACCTTGTCTGAATTTTACTCAGGTGTAACTAAAGTCTGCTTTAAGGGTTGTTTATATTTCACATCATTTATTAGAATCTGCAAAGTAACTAAAATAAATGTAGTGGAGTAAAAATACCAGGTTAACCTCTGAATTGTAGTGGAGTAGAATTTCAAAGTAACAATAAATTGCATGTTGTACATGCTGCTGTAACAAAAACATTTCCTAACTTGGGATCAATAAAGTATATCTTATCTTATCTTAAGATGATCGATGGCTACTTCCATATTTGCTAAATTAGCCTCTGAACCTTGACAAGTGCATGTTTCAGGCTTATCAATTAACAACAGGAGGGGTCACAGACATAAGACCAGCTGTTAAATAAAGCTCTTCTGACCTTAGCTGTCATGTGGGTATATATTAATGCTACCCATTATGGACACAAGCAATTTTCACCCATTTATTAATTATATGTTTTAAATTTAATAACACCACTGTGTTTCGTATCCCCTAAACCTCCAGGGATGTACACAGTTTAATACTGGCAACTTCTAATTATGGGAAATACGAAAACGTCTTTTAAAACTACAATTCCCAGTAGAGACGTGCCATAGAACATGATGCGAAACACAATTAGCCAGCATGTGTAGTTCTGGGGGGGGGGTGGACACGTTCAAGTCTAGTTTTGGATAGTCTGCCGTGGTTTCATTCCATTTCAAAGAGCTGTTTGACCAACATCCAATCACAGAGCTTGAGGACTAATTACGGGGTTTGTCAAGCAAAGCGGATGTTGTAGTCCCAAACAATAGCTGAGGATTATGGGTAGTGTAGTGTCTTCGGCCATCCTAAACTCCGAAAAAACTATTTGTTTCTCCAAATCGAAGGTTAAAAACACAAAAGCATTTTACACAATTTAAACCAATCAATGTTGTGTAATTAACAAGAATAAACTGATGTGTTTTAGTGGATGAGTAATGCAGATATCACTGTGTAATCATTTGACAGTGAGGGGAATACTTCCGGTTTTATTATGAAAACTTCGAGACCGGAAATACTGTTTTCACCCTGTGAGGGTTGACGGCAACTTTACATGGAAGCTGCCATCAATAGAAATGAATAGGGGAAATACATAGTATACACGTTCTCCTGGCGAGACCTCAAATCATCTTCGTAATATCTATCAAACTATAGATCTTACACATCGACTGGACCTGGATTCTAAAAGTACAATATACACTTCTCGCTAGAAATCAAATCAAAAAGCATTTAATGGCCAAACTATTCTACTAGGGATGCTCCGATCGATTGGCCGCTGATCGTTATCGGCCGATGTTCACTCTCGGCCGATCAATCGGTGCTCTCTATAAAGGCCGATCAGGAGAGCCGATCACATGACGTAAAATACATGACACTTTTCTCTGTGCACGGCAAAACAAGCTCGTCAAAATGGCTTCACCGGCCTGGCAGTATTTAAAGTGTCCGAAAAAGACAATAAAATAGAGGTATGCAACGTGTGTGAAGCAGAAATCATGCAGCCCCTTGAATAATGTACTTCATTTGAACGTAATAATTATGTTGGTTGTTGTTTGTGGAAGCGCATCATGTATTGAAAAATTAATCTGGACTTTTCGATCCGTTAGGATTATAAACTGAAGCAATATAAAAATGAGCCCCATTAACCGAGTTTTAAACATCACTTTAAATGGAAGATCCCCAAAGCCCCCACCCACCCGAACGGATCAGCGATCGGTATCGGCCGATACTGATTCCGGCGATCCGCTCCAAAATTGGCGATTGGAGCATCCCTATATTCTACAATTTAGGATTTTCCAGAGAGGGTTATTTGTGAATATACGACCCTCCGGAGCGTTTGCAATCAACGGGAGCATCAGCCCATATGCCACAAATTGTTGTTTCTTACACGACCACTAGAGGTGCTAAACTTTAAAACGTGACTATAGGTCGTAATAAGCCGCTGAACAATCGACCTATTTGGTCGTTTTTTGGTGGAGGACAAGCTGTGGAGGTCATGAACAAGGCTGTTCCAGCTGCAACAACATTCTCTAAACATGTTCCCTTTTTAGGAAAAGCCTCATGGTCATTTGATAAACATGAATTAGCAGATCGAGAACACACTTCCTTTCCACCATTACTGGAACAATCTTAAACCTCCTCTTACTCTGTTTTTTTTTTTGAAGAGTGGTAGTTGTTGAAAAGGGGAAATGCAAATAGTGAAGATGAGATTTACTCAACAATTATCCCATCAAATATCTTTAAGACTTCAGAAATGGGCCCAAGGGAATCTTTAAGTCTAAATAGGAATTTCTGATAACTAGTCATAGTTTCCTGCTCTGCCTCCTTTATTCAATTCAAGTGGATTTTGTAAATTGACTCATTAATTGGGATGAGGGGAACAAATACATTGTGGTTAAGAAGGCTTCTAAGTATTTTAGTAGTTTTAATTTACTGCCATCTATTTGCAGCAAATTGCTAAATCTGCAAAATATGTTCCATTCTTAGCTTATACATACATTCATTTTAAATGAAGCAAAAATAAAGTAATAATACATGTCTGGACTTGGTTACTTATTTGCAACAAAATAAGCCAACCAGTAGTAAGCACAACAATGATTTCACATTGTTAACATAAACCATAGACAGGAATGTGAATCTATCCTGTGTGTTTTCTATATCTGATATTAGTATGTTATCCCACTTTCAGCAGGCACAGACATTTTACTGACACAGTAAATAGTGATATTTCCTAGATCCTGTGGCGATAAATACTGGCAGAAGGCATAATAAAGCTGATTTAAGCAGAGGGTTGCATCTGCATTTATTGGAAATCCTCATTTTCCTATGCCACAAAGCTAACCATGTTTTCAGTTGCACCCAAAATTAACTAGCATTAGCATTGTGTAAAGAAACCACATATTAGACTTAGTTGTTTGAAATACAGATATTCTGAGACTTATCAAAACCACACTGAATCACAATTCAGTGTGAGGATCGGAATGAATAATATACTGTATTCCCTGTTCCAAAAATCCTAATGAAGAGCTATTGCAAACTTGGGGGGGAGGAATGGCCCTTAAACTGTTCTCTCTATAGACTTCTAATTTCATTTGGAAATGATAATACACAAAGATCAAATGGCCAATTTTAGAACAACAAAGACACTGTTAAAGTAGCTTGCACTTAAACTGAGCTTTGCATCTTTTTGTACAGTATTCACAGCAGGTTTCAGAAAGCCTCTCTTCAGAGGAAGCCTTTGCAGTGACAAAACATTCCAGATCCAAGATAAAGCTCTGCTCAGAGAGCCATCTGCTGGGGAGGCGATGCAGACACAGAAAAGAGGAACACCTGCTACTCAGGACGCCACACATAGCCCTTCAATATTTTTGGGGAAAATGGCTCATTATGTAATGGCTTTAAACATGTTAATGCTTCATTTCCTGTGAATAATATTTGAAAGATTATTTACGTTGTTTCTACAGCTCTGTGGAGTTTTGCGTCTCTGCTTTGGGATCAGTGCGGGGAGTGACTCTCAGTGTGATGCACAGGAAGCGACAGATGGGATGGAAATCACAACCGACGTGACGACTCAAAACTGCATCCAGTTTCCGGCATTCTCTGGTCGTGATGAAGGTGGAACAGAGCTGGGAACACATACACTGATGTTAGTTTTATTCAGATAATGGCATATTACTTATTAAAGGACAATTTCAGTGGTTTTACATTACCCTGTATATACAGTAACTCTTTGTTATGGAAGAACTTGTCTGGCCTGTACAGAGCTGTTGTATATTCTAAAGTACAAATGTATGTGACTTATAAAGTGCTTTGTATTGTGCCGAGTGAAATCAGCACCTGTTAACATTCAAATATGTGTGTAAGTATTGTAATTATAGTTTTCAGGCACCTTAAAGCTTTCATTTGCAAAACAATTTAGTTTCATGAGACACAAATAGATTTAAATCAAACGTGATAAAGTACGAATATTTTAAAACCAATTATTAATAGAATTTTAGGAACAATTATTGTAAAGTGGTGTTAACCATCACTGTGATGAAGGTGAAATGACCTATGCTGTGATATTAATAGATGATATTGAAACTGTGACTGAACCAGGCCAAACATCACTCATGCCTTTGGGGTTGAAAGGAACAAACCACTTTGTAAAGACTTCCCTGGGTCATATGGTTGAAATGTTATGCCCACAAAAATACGTTTTCTACCTTGCAGGAGCAGAGAAATCTCCCCAGAGATCAGAACTAGCGTTTGACTGGACCACTGTGTTAGAGTTACTGCTGTCCAGCTCCAACAAGCAGGCTGACGGAGACACACAGAAACACAGAGCTTATTAAAGGCTGCTTACACACTTGACACACATTTCTTCTTATTTTCCTGCGTCCTGAAGCTCTAAGAGTATGACTCATTCACATAGTGATTAAGAAATGAGGTCACTCCTGTATGTTAAAGCTGCACAAACATAATTAATTAAAAAAACAACACCATTTCCAACACACTGTGAAGAAGTTGCTCTATTTGCCCTAATTAAATACACGTGTTGGTGATCGTCACAGATAATAATTCATATAAAGTGATAATATTTATGTGTAGCTTTAGTTTGATTGAATGTGCCATCTACCTGTCGCCGTGTCTCCTGTCTGGGGCACGATGTTGTGATTGGATGGGCCTGACAGAGGAGGCGGGACTATCTTTCCTCCAGGTGGTGGTGGGAGGAGTCCAAATCCACCAGAGCTTAGGGGGCGGGGCTTATCCTTCTTTCTACCTTGCTAAAGACAAAGAACGAAAATGATTTATAGGAATGTTAACGCTTTCAACCACCAGTTTATTTACATTAAGTGAAACTTAAATACTTTAACTTTTGGATTATTATGGGCTGCTTAATAAAAAATAGGCAACTAAATTGAAATAGTGACCATAACTTTCTACACCTGCCAACAGTCATTTTATTTTGAAAATATATAATAAAAGATGGATATATTGATGTTCTTACTCCTATGTTGAGTGTGATGGTCTGCCCCTCTTTAAAGCCCAAGTCCAGTTTTGGTCCTGAATCCACTAGATGGGCATTTTTACTGATTTCATTCTCCTGTTTCACCCATCTGCAGGGTGGCAGAGACACAAAGATACAAACAATCAGCACATATACACAAACAAACAACGCATCTCAGCAGTTTCCCAAAAAACCCACAGACAGTACAGTATACAGTGCAGTACTGTATATCTCAGAGACATCATTTTGTTTTGGCCTGGACTGCTTGTGCTGCAGAGGGTTGTAGGACAGCAGGACATGTAAAACAAGTTGTTAATTATTTAGAAGGAAAACTAATGGTCGTCTGCATGTCTGATGTTCAGTCGTATATGTATTGATTACTGTGAATGTACTTGCTTTTAACCAGACTCAAACCACCCAGTCACTGCTTACTTGAAATGGTCCTGCAAAGACACGTTGAAATCAAAAGCGTCCCCTCGGTCCTCAAAGCCAACTCCTATGAAAGCACTGCGCCCTGTGGACAGGAAGTGATATTACAGATACTCACCTGAAAAAGAGTCAATATAACGTTCTTCAATTCTACATTCTTAAAAAGGGTATTTTTTTATAAAATGCACATCCTCACCGCTGTCATCCTGTATGCGCAGAACAAAATATCGGCTGGAGTCGCTGACCGTTTCCACTGAAACACCGGGGTAATCAGTAATTGGTGCCTGGGCAAACAGCTCCCCTGCAGGACATTTGGGGGAAAGACAGAATAAGCATACAAATTAGTAAGTGATTTCTGAATTGTTTAGCCTGGTTGAATAAGAGCTGTAGCCAAGGGTGTAACTTTGGTTTGAGAAGTGGGGGGGACACACAAACGAACGAAAAACGTTCTCGATTTGAATCCCATTCCCTGCCTTTCTACAAATATGGTGTAAAAGAAATCCAAGCAAAAATGTGTAGTGTATATAATGAGAGTGCAAACTTATCGAGTATCCAATCCATGTCAACCTATTTTATTCGGGGTGGACCTCACAACAAATAGGGGGGTCCGGGGGCATGCTCCCCCATAAATGTTTTCTTTAAATGTTGAAGTTAAATGCATCAATCTGTGGCGCTTTAAGGGGAAATTAAGGCATTATGGATACAGTTGTCAACACTCATGAAACAGAACTGTATATATTTCAATAATCAAAGAAATCCTTAAAATATGATCACAAACAATAACAAATAATTTAAACTTGTTTATTTGATAAACTCCTAACTCCCTCCTCTCTTTATCTTATGTTACCAAAAAGTCCAACATCACCAGCCCCAACGACTACCGCCCAGTAGCACTCAACTCCATCATAAAGTGCTTTGAGCAGTTAGTCAAAACATTCATCACCTCCTCTCTCCCTGACTCTCTGGACCCCCTGCAGTTTGCCTAGAGCAAACAGGTCCACAGCCCTCACCATCCACACTGCCCTCTCACACCTGGACCAGAGGAACACATACAGTGGGGCAAAAAAGTATTTAGTCAGCCACCAATTGTGCAAGTTCTCCCACTTAAAAAGATGAGAGAGGCCTGTAATTTTCATCCTAGGTACACTTCAACTATGAGAGACAAAATGAGAAGAAAAAAAAATCCAGAAAATCACATTGTCTGATTTTTAAAGAATTTATTTGCAAATTATGGTGGAAAATAAGTATTTGGTCAATAACAAAAGTTAATCTCAATACTTTGTTATATACCCTTTGTTGGCAATGACAGAGGTCAAACGTTTTCTGTAAGTCTTCACAAGGTTTTCACACACTGTTGCTGGTATTTTGGCCCATTCCTCCATGCAGATCTCCTCTAGAGCAGTGATGTTTTGGGACTGTCGCTGGGCAACACGGACTTTCAACTCCCTCCAAAGATTTTCTATGGGGTTGAGATCTGGAGACTGGCTAGGCCACTCCAGGACCTTGAAATGCTTCTTACGAAGCCACTCCTTTGTTGCCCGGGCGGTGTGTTTGGGATCATTGTCATGCTGAAAGACCCAGCCACGTTTCATCTTCAATGCCCTTGCTGATGGAAGGAGGTTGCCACTCAAAATCTCACGATACATGGCCCCATTCATTCTTTCCTTTACATGGATCAGTCGTCCTGGTCCCTTTGCAGAAAAACAGCCCCAAAGCATGATGTTTCCGCCCCCATGTTTCACAGTAGGTATGGTGTTCTTTGGATGCAACTCAGCATTCTTTCTCCTCCAAACACGTCTAGTTGAGTTTTTACCAAAAAGTTCTATTTTGGTTTCATCTGACCATATGACATTCTCCCAATCCTCTTCTGGATCATCTAAATGCTCTCTAGCAAACTTCAGACGGGCCTGGACATGTACTGGCTTAAGCAGGGGGACACGTCTGGCACTGCAGGATTTGAGTCCCTGGCGGCGTAATGTGTTACTGATGGTAGCCTTTGTTACTTTGGTCCCAGCTCTCTGCAGGTCATTGACTAGGTCCCCCGTGTGGTTCTGGGATTTTTGCTCACCGTTCTTGTGATCATTTTTTTTGCGTGGAGCCCCAGATCGAGGGAGATTATCAGTGGTCTTCAGTGTTGGGTGTAACGCGTTACAAAAGTAATGGAGTTACAGTAATATATTACTTTTTGCTGTAACGAAGTAATGTAACGCATTACTAATGAAATGTGGGTAATATATTACCCGTTACAATTCTCAGTAACGCAGTTACAACACATTTTAACCCGAAATTAAATGGTGTTTTGTTTTTTAACAATATACTAACACAGCGAGACATTCCGACACCAGACAAATTGTGCGGGTAGATTAGTAAACCTGGTGTGTTTACCCTTCAGGCTTCGCGTCGGGATCTTCCGGGCAGTTGAATGTTATGCACCCTCTATTAAAAAAAGAGAACGGAGCGAAAAATACTAACAACAAAATTGTGTCAGGTGCGCGTGACCTGCTCCGCTGCGCGTGCATCATTTCCAAAGTGCTTCCACAGCAGTGACACACATCTGTGGATAATCATTTAATACGAAAATGGTTAAAGCAACCATCACTAAACGCCAGCAACACTGCATCTACTGCAGACCGTTGTGGACACTAGCTTACTCCCGCCTGACTCGCCGCCCTCGCCCCCGGAGCAGCAGTCTTCGTTGCCCGAAACTACGCCGCCCCTCTGCGGCCCGCAGGTGCCAGGATACCACGGCAAAACAGAGCCTGCTCAGGTCTATCTAAACAAGTACCCGCCTGTACAGTGGGGTTAGGCGGTCATTTTGCAGCTCGTGGTATACAAATAGACAAGGGCTAGAATATTCATGTGAAAATAGTGCCATATTCTGCCATGCCTGTAGAAATGTTGGGTCAAAAATAATGCATACAATAGCACAGATGCCTTCACCACGAATGCCTATAAAACTATCTCATATCCCAAGTTTATCAACAAGCTAATGTTGCAGCTGAAATGTTCTCCAGGTCACAAAGTCAACCTCACATGATGACGTGATACCAGTTTTCAAGGACAGTAAATTTTCTCTTCCCAGAGTATATATGATGGGACCAAAGTGATGATTTAGTAGGCTACATGGTTTTAATAATACTTTTGCTTTTCAATGTTTGCCATTTCAAACCATGAGCTGGTTCAAATAATATTTGCCTTGATTTACAATATGTTCTCATTTGTTTTATCAGTACAGTTGTGAAGCTTCTGTGCTTTTCTTTGCCATAGTCCACTTTGGACTATATGAAATATTTCAGGATTGCACTTTTAACTCACTTGAAATGTTCTCACTTGCTTGGTTTCAAAACATAACAAAGGCCATAATCTGTTCATTGGGAACCATCAATGCTATTTTTCATTGCTGTTGCCGGCCACTATTGCTCACGTAAACCTACTACCTATTACCCCTGTAATCTCAGAGGCACCCTGAGTCATTTTGTTCTGGAACTGGGCCTGTACATGGACATATACTAAACAAACTACAGAGCCCATTCCGTGTCCTGTTATTATTCACTTCCTGTCTGCCTTCTTCTGTTGATTTATCTGACGTCCAGCGCTCCGTTTTTTAACCTCTTTTCCTTTCTCTTTCTGGATCCTCCTTAGCAATCTTCATTATAGTCCTTTGACAGTGGTCTGTACTGCTGTATTAACAACGTGTCACATGTTAAGAATTTACAATCAGAATCGAGTATTCAATTCAATTCAAAACCTTTATTTATCCAGGTAAAATCCCATTGAGATCCATTATCTCTTTTTCAAGGGAGACCTGCAGCAGTAGGTTCCACAAGAAGACATAAAAACATAATCAACAGAACAACAAAAGGACATCATACAGCAAAATGTACAGGGATTACAATTTACATATTTAACCACATGTACAGGTACCAACAGCATCTGATTTTGTAGCATCCAACCGAGCTTTAAAAACATGTAGTGGTACTAGCTTGGTAATTTCCATTCTTTTTGCAGACTGTTCCATGTTAGTGGAGCTGCACATCTAAAAGCTTTCTTCCCTAAGACAGTCCTAGCACTTGGCACATTTAATAAAACCACAGCATGCGATCTCAGGCAATAAGTACTTTCAATTCGCAGAGAGATCAGTGAGCAGATATAAGATGGTAGTTTATCCAACATGGCTTTGTAAATGAAAAAGTACCAGTGACTGAGCCTCCGTACAGTAAGTGATGGCAAAACCGTGTAATAACTAAGCCGTGTAATACAAGTTGTTAGTAGCCTTAAGGGCCTACACAGTTGTTATGCTATACCACATTGCGGTTCACTGGATGTATAATGAGCTGCACTAAACTACATTTCAGCATTTAAAATACCTAGCCATTCTTTTGCGGTTATTTTGGTGAAAGTAACTAAAAAAGTAACTAAAGTAGTGTAACTCATTACATTTCAGAGACAGTAATTTTTTAATGTAACTTATTACTTTCAAAAGAGAGTAATAAGTAATATGTAATATATTACATTTTGAAAGTAACTTGCCCAACACTGGTGGTCTTGTATGTCTTCCATTTTCTAATAATTGCTCCCACAGTTGATTTCTTCACACCAAGCTGCTTAACCTATTGCAGATTCAGTCTTCCCAGCCTGGTGCAGGTCTACAATTTTGTTTCTGGTGTCCTTTGACAGTTCTTTGGTCTTGGCCATAGTGGAGTTTGTAGGTAACCAAATACTTATTTTACCGAGGAATGGACCAATTAATTCATTAAAAATCCTACAATGTGATTTCCTGGATTCTTTCCCCCCATTCTGTCTCTCATATGAAGTGTACCTATGATGAAAATTACAGGCCTCTCTCATCTTTTTAAGTGGGAGAACTTGTACAATTGGTGGCTGACTAAATACTTTTTTGCCCCACTGTATATCGAATATCGTGATATCGCGGTAAATAATAATAAAACAATTTTAAACCTTTATTCAACCAGATGGTCCCATTGAGATCATCAATCTCTTTTTCAAGGGAGACCTGTCCAACATGGCAGCAAGTAGGTTACAACATGAACATAAAACAACAGATAACAATAAAGGACATTGTATTTACAGGGCTACATGTACATAGTACATACCTAGAGACATTGACAAGTACCAACAATATATGTATATATACATATATACCCTATATATACCCTGTCAATAAGCCTCAGTTGGCAAAAACTGTATTGTTTTTGAAGTGGTGGAGAGACAATGCACAGTTTTACCCACTGCTGTTACCCATGGCCAGAGCATATCTCTGTCCCAGCAACATCAGTACCA